GACTTAAATGAACAATAATTTGCAAATTAAGACTCAAATGTGAATACTTTTTTGTTAAATCAATTGTGAAATTGAGTGAAGTTTCTGCCAATTAGCGTGAATTTACTGAATTCATAAAACTTAAAAACAGTACAACTCTTAATACACCGGTAATAGTGTTATACTGTATATAATAATGGATTCAAACAATTATTAATTGCTAACCATTACTCAAATACATTCATCACTGGAAACTGCAACAAAAAATTAATAATTGGATTGATATTTATTAGACATCCGACAGAAAACACTGTTATTTACTGTGATATAGATTTTAATATACGAAAACCAATTGACTGATTCAATTATTGATATTACTTGAAATAAAACATTTAAATTTTTGTAAAATAAAAATTGTGTTTATTTTATTTAATTATTACAATATTAATAAATGTCTAATTCACAGAAAGTGGTCATTGAAATAACAATATTAATTAATAGTCATTTAATCAAACCATTAATATAATGGACGAGATGTTTGAAATTCATTACATAATGACTAGAATTGTCTCTATATTTACAACTGATGTTTAAATCATTTAACAAACTCTTAACAAATTAATGAATTATTTTTGTGTTTAATTCAATGAATTTCTATTATATCACAAACAGAACTAAAATCGATCCAAAAGTAAACGAAAAATTAAGTCAAAAGCAAATGTCATAAAGAGTCCAAACATTGAGTGATTGTCTGAATAATCAGTATTTGGCAACTCTTTCATAGAATAGCATATAAGCAGAACTGTTGAGCACTTCTGAAAGACTCACTTCGAGGACAGTTGTGTCGGATATGTAATACCACTTCAATTGATTATGCGTTTCAGTGCCGCGTCGGTAGCAAATGAAATGACCAGAAGAGGCGTCGCCTAAATGCACTATAACTGAGCATAACTTGTATCTGTACTTAATTCTGAAGGGATTAGTATTTCCATTGATGACAGTGTGATCACCATCTGGATGGGGTTGGGGTTGAGGGCACTGGTCTGTCACATTCAAGTATCCCTTCAATGGCGTGGAGGCGCCTCCAGTCAGACCCGTAGTTGTCGATAGGTTCAGATCAACAGTAGATTTATGAGAGTTATACACATATGAATCCATAATCAAATATTCTGGAAATATTATGTTTTCGCAGCGTTTCATAGGCTGTCCATCACTTAACCAAACGAGTCGTTGGATTTGAAGACATAAGAGTTGAGGCATTTTGGCGAACGTCAACCTCTTAACGAAAACAGACTTTCTTTGGGAATCCAATCGATGGCTATTCTTAATACATGTCTCACATCTGACTTCATGTATGATTTCATTACTGACAAACTTCTCAAGACATTCGTATAATTGAATCGGAATTCCGATCACATTATTGGGTATAACAAGAGATATGGTGTCAAATGTATCCAAATGGAGCGGATATTTATGGCAACACTTTCTGCAGTAGAGTTGGGAGCAAAGCATGCCTTTAGTGGGCAATGGCTTTACTATACGATTATCGCCGCAAACATTCAGATTAGAGACTCGCGTGTGGATCGCAGGGCTGGTCTCGGGTGAAGTCTCACCCATCAATCCCTAAAAATTCAATATTTGTTATCAATTTCATCACATTTGTTGTCAAATTAAGTGCTATTTTAGGCAATCATTAAATAAATGAAGAGAAAACTACACCAAAAGGCAGTTCTCTGTTAACAAACCTCTACTAAGAGGGCGTCCTTTAGAGAGTAGACGGGAAGCGCTGAATAGAGCTCTGACTCTAAGGTTGCCGTCAGAACATTAAATAACTCGAAGGCGTCCTAATTGGACACAAACACCACATCCAGAGTAAGCATAATATTTGAGATAAGACTAAGCATTAAAGCAAACTGTATGGCATCGATCGGTTCACTCGTATTACCTGTTCTTCATTAGAAATGGTCCACTTGTGAGCTCTCAATGCATTCAATACATCCACACAACTGTACGACTGATGGCACTGATGGCCAACCGATTCATTATTAACCACTTGAACCACACAAACACAACGGAGTCCGACATAAAGAATAATTCAAATTATCGTTAAAGCGATTCCCAATGAATTAGAGACCACTTAAAGAGAAAGTCAAACCATTTCTTCGCACAAACTTAACGATTGGTTTGGGTTTTGCTAAGACTCGCAGAGATTATTATAAAAAATTGTTTCTCTCTTTCTCTACAAATTTTTTATTAATAATGAATTCATTTAAACATTTCATACCATTAAAAGCAAAGAAACATTTGTTCGCATCAAAACTATTAAAATAAATAACTTTTTGCTTTAAAATAGACTTTTGAGACAATTTTATAATAATTGTTAAGTTAAGCACTATTTTCTAATAAGTTTAACATATTTTTAATTAAATTTTTTATTAGTTTTCCTACAAAAACTGATTTTCGCAAATAGCTGGAGATTTGTTTGCGAGTCAACCACTCATTTGACACATAAATTGCTTTTAAAAAAAGTAAAAATCATTTTCTCTTATGAATCAAAAATCGATTGAAACTGAAAACAAACATTTGGTCTGTTTTTGGGGTTATTTTTTACAAACCATTTGAGAAAAAAGCAACAAAAAAAGAGATAATAGATAAGAGTCTTACCATTGATTGTATTGAGAAGATTATACGTAAGACTATTGCTATCATTATTATGCAAACCATTCGCATAATTAAGCCATAAATTCATGGATTTGGATGACGAGAGTGACTGAAGAATGGCATTAATAAAGCATTGATTGCCATAATTGTTGAGTCCATTCACACCATTCACTGTCAACCGTAAGACAATACAAGACATCACATGATTAGCTATGAAAGCAGACAAACTTTCAATTCATTTGCCATACGTTTGCTTCTTCGGGACCTATTCGGCGACGGTTTTGGTCCGTAAAAGACATACACAACGGATGCCAATCCCAACGACAGGGCACTTAACGCCAGATATGTATTGCTTTCAAACATATTGCGATATTTTCTACAACTTTTGTATCAATAATTGTAATCACAAATTATAGCCATCTGTGAGACACAACATCTAAAACTGTAAGACATTCATCGGTGGTTGTGTTGCCTATAAACGGATACCACAGGTATTTGACTGCAAAAATAGTTCATAATGTGTGTCAATACAACACATATCAGACATTGACTACGAAATGACAAATAAGTCTATATTTTATGCACTGATTGTCACTTCAAACACAATTCAAACAACTTTTGTTTCACTCACTAATACAGTATTGATTTCCCATACAATTAGACAAATTATTT